AGTGGTACTTCCGCGTCTACAAGTCCCTCTGCCCCATCGAGTGGGTGAGTGCCACCGCCGTGTCCCCAGGGTGTCCCCAGGATGTCCCCAAGGTCCTCAGGTGCCCCACGGTGTCCCCGCGGCCCTCAGATTCCCCTCAGGTCCCCCTCGGTGTCTCCATGGTCCTTGGATGCTCCTCAGGGTTGACATGGCGTCCCCACGGCCCTCGGTGTCCCCAAGGTGTCCCCATGGCCATCAGGTCCCCATGATGTCCCTAAGATGTCCCCAAGGTCCTCAGGTCCCCCACGGTGTCCCCATGGTTCTCAGATCCCCCTCAGTGTGCCCTTGGTGTCCCTTCAGTGTCCCCATGGTCCTTGGTTTCCCCTCAGGGTCTCCTCAGGGTTGACGTGGTGTCCCCACAGCCCTCAGCGTCCTCAAGGTGTCCCCATGGCCATCAGATCCCCACGATGTCCCCAAGGTCCTCGGGTCCCCCATGGTGTCCTCACGGTCCTCAGATCCCCCTCGGTGTCCCCATGATGTCCCCACGGTCCTTGTGTTCCCCTCGGGGTCCCCTCAGGGTTGACGTGGTGTCCCCACAGCCCTCAATGTCCCCATGGCCATCAGGTCCCCATTGACGTCCCCATGGTGTCCCCACAGCGTCCCCATGGTCCTTGGGTCCCCGACGGTGTCCCCACAGTCCTTGAATTCCGTTCCTTGTCTCCATGGTCCTTGGGTCCTCCTTGGGGTCCCCTCAGGGTTGATGTGGCATCCCCACAGCCTTCAGTGTCCCCAAGGTGTCCCCATGGCCATCTGGTCCCCATGATGTCCCCAAGATGTCCCCATGGTACTTGGGTCCCCCATGATGTCCCTATGGTCCTCAGATCCCCCTCGGTGTCTCCGTGGTTCTTGGGTGCCCCTTGGGGTCCTCTCAGGGTTGACGTGGTGTCACCACAGCCCTCAATGTCCCCATGGTTGTCAGGTCCCCATCGATGTCCCCAGGGTGTCCCCTCGGTGTCCCCATGGTCCTTGGGTCCTCCTCGGGGTCCCCTCAGGGTTCACGTGTTGTCCCCACGGCCCTCAATGTCCCCAAGGTGTCCCCATGGCCATCAGGTCCCCATTGATGTCCCCAGGGTGTCCCCACGGTCTTTGGTGTGCCCCATGGTGTCCCCACGGCTCCCAAGTCCCCCATGGTGTCCCCACGGTCCTTGATGTCCCCCACCGTGTCCCCATGGTCCTTGGTATCTCCCAGGATGTCCCCACGGTCTTCAAGTCCCCCACGGTGTCCCCAAGATCCTTGGTGTCCCCATGGTGTCCCCATGGCCCTCAAGTACCCCATGGTGTCCCCATGGTCCTTGGTGTCCCCCAGGATGCCCCCCATGGTGCGCCCACGGTCTTTGGTGTCACTTATGGTGTCCCCATGGTCCTTGGGTCCCCTCAGGTCCCTCATGGTGTCCCCACGGCCCTCAGGGTCCCCATGACATCACCGCGTCCCCCATGACGTCACCATGGCGTCACCGCGTCCCCCATGGTGTCACCACATCCCCCATGATGTCACCATGGTCCCTGCATCCTCCATGACACCATCACGCTCCCCACGTGATGTCACCGTGTGTCCCCCCCCCCGATGTCCACCCTGGCCCCTCCCCCCGTCACATCACCACGTCCCCCA